AAGCTCTTGTCAAGAAATTTCAATGGACTCTCATATGAACATTTGAAATTTGCCCTGTTCTGACTTTATTTCTAGTTCCCTGTCAAGAACTTGTAATGCTAATTACTGTTGCCCTTACTTCTCCTTCAAATCTCCTATTCACCAGTCAAGGACTTTCTTTTCCCTTGCAGATAAGAGTTTTGCAATTTGGGAGTCTTTTAGATAGACCCACTATGGGCGTGTGGGGGGATCTTGGGGCGCCAGCTGCTGGGCGTGGCGCCAGTCTCCCGCGGGCCGCTGGGGTGCACACGGGTCCCGCACCGCGTTGCCGTGGGTCTCTGCTACCAGGGCTGGCCCGGTCGGGTTCCGTTTCAATTTCTACCGTGCACTCTCTCTCTCTAAATTCGAGACCTGTTGGCCACCAAGTCACGAGGGGATGTGCAAGAAACGGCGAAAGCTGGATTTCCGTGAGTCGGTTTACGAAGAGACAGCTCTCTCCAGAGAGGCAGGATCGTAGGCAGTAAGACACAGAACTCAGCTCAGTCAGTGGTACAGCCCTTTATTCAGTGACTTAGCTCGGTTCCAAGTCTTAGTGATCCAGCTCCAATTAATTGGGGGAAACCAGGATATTTTATACTGTGGAGGCAGTGGTAAAAGCCTTAGCTGATAGGTACTTTTAGGATGCCTTATTTACATGTGGTGGTGGGCTCCTGCCAGGCTGCCAGACTGCCTGAAAATCACACAGGAAAACCAGAGCCAGAGGCCATAGCTACTTCAAAAGATGAGTCAGGAAGATGCCGGGAAGGCACCTTGCTGATAAAAGGAGTCTTTGCATTGAACACCGAGCCCATAGGCTATCCGGACATGGAGAGACTGCTACTTTACACAACAGGGGTCCCCAACAACCCACTATCTAATTGGGTACCCCAATTGCCTCACCCTGTGTCCCTCCCTGTTCAGCATGGAAGAAGCCAGAGCGGTCTGTGTCCCAATTCCCTATCCGCAAGTTGGGTAATCTCTTCAGAGAATGCTGTGATAAGAATAGGAGGTAGGAATTGGCTAGGCAGTTAGTGTAAAAAGACCCCAAAGAAAAATAGCCAGCTTCTTGACTAAAAGTGAAAATCTCCTTGGGCCTCTTAGCAACATACTCTGTTCTAAGGGACAAAAATGTCATATTTGGGAACTCTTATCTAATCCTTAAAAGATCTTAGGGTTACCTCTTCAGAGGGGGCGATGTTACAGTAGCAAAAAGAAGAAAGAGCACATGAAGTTATCAGAAAAACGTGATGGGGAGATATAGGAGGAGTTGGAGGGGAGGGAGTGGGCATGCATTTGATCAAAATACCTTATCTGCTTATATCCCTGTGTGAAATGCTCAATAAATTATTAAAAAATACATTGGTGTAAAAACTGCAAAGCATTTAAAAAAAGACACATTGAGGATCTTTCTTATCGATATTTGTTATGTTTATTGACTTCAATTTTTGATTTTTGTTGAGCTGCTTGTAAATGTGCTTTCTCTATTGTGTTGTTCATTTTTCTCCTGGATTGTGAAAATACCATTTGTAATAAGAAAATTAAGGGCTAGAGAAATTGCTTAGTGGTTAAGAGCACTTCCTGCTCTTGCAGAGGACCTGGTTTCTGCTCTCAGCATCTACTTAGCAGCAAACAATGGTCTGTAACTCTAGTTTTAGGATATCCAACATTCTTTTCTGGCCTTTGAGGACATGGGAATGCACATTGTACTTACATACATGCAGGCAACACTCATAAACATAAAAATTTTTTAAAGACAATTAGTCCTTTGACTAACATCACTTCGATACACTTCATGTTTATATAAACATATGGCATTTAAAAATAATTATGTGATTAACTTATAAGCAGTTGTAGAAGAACCACTCTTCGTAAGCCTTCCAGTTTTACCCAAAGGTTTTTTTTTTTTTTTTAATTAGTCATGTAAAAAACTAATGTCTAAGAACATGGACTCTGGAGTAGACCACTTAGATACAAAAAACGGGAGAAAATAGCAATGTTCTTTATTTTTCTTCTTTCTGAGTATAAGAATTGTAAACTGGAAGCCATCGTAGTATATGCTTTTAATCCAAGCCCCCGGGAAGCAGAGACAGGCAGCTCTCGAGGAGATCAAGGCTAGCCTTACCTACATAGTGGCTTCCAGACCAGCTGAGGCTACAGGAAGACTGCTTCAAAAAATAAGACAAAACCAACCAACGAAACCAAAACCAAACCAAATAAACCCTGTCAAGATACAATACCAAAAATGAAAAGCAAAGTATCACAGAACTATGCAAGCATAAAAAGCTGATGAACATGGTACTTAAATCTATACCTTGTCTGTTGTTGCTTAATAGCAAAGACTACAACTATGTGAAGGGAAATAAGATATTCTTTATCACTGAGTGGAGAAACAGCTGGGCCAATGAAGAAAGGCTTCCCTGTAAATTTGTGCCATTGTTTTCATGCATGCAGACAAAGCATTAATATTTATATTTTCAAATAATTTGCCATATTTGCTTTAAGGAAAACAAATCCTCTGAGTCCTTATGAAGAACAGTAGTGACACCTACTGTCCACATAAGGCAGCTCAAGATGTTAGCTGGGGCAGGGATTCTTAACTAGTTGCATGAGATCCTGGATCCCTTCACAAATCTTAAAAAAGCAGGAGGAGGGGGAGACAAACAAAAACCCCGGTTCTTACATAAACACAAAATTTACTATGATATATGTAATTTTTGGATCCCAGAATTGGATAATAGGGTCACCTAGGCTCGCCATTGATCTAAAATAGCTAATTTATAAACAGATGACATAATCCAAGAGTCTTAGAGCAGAATCTAGTCAATTTGTCTCAGTCATTAGATTGTTTTTATGAGTTTGGGTTTATAAATTGTTTCTAGGATAACTAAATATCTAACAGGTCTTAGTAACTCTCATCCAGCAGTCATTATGTTGCTCTAGGCATATGAAGGTCTTGCTTATGTTGCTACTGACATTTAAAATGTTTTTTCTAAAGTCATTACTATCTCTAGGTAAGTTATGATTTAATTCCTCAAATTGTACTTTATGACATTTCCTTGATAAAGTGTACCATCATTGGTCACATCCACAGAAAATCCACAGAAAATTAGGACCTTAGGCCAAAGTCACAACTAAATTTAGAAATGACTGTATTTTCAAGTAAAAATAGCACGCACGCACACCCACACACACACACACACACACACACACACACACACACGTCTTTTTGAGACAGGGTCTCCCTGTAGCTCCACCTGGCCTAGAACTCACTATGTAGATCAGGCTGGCCTCACACTCACGGAGATCTGTCTGGTTTTGCCTCCCAAGGACTAGTATTAAAGCCGGACACCACCATGATTCACTAGGACCTTAATATTTTAATAAATTTAAAAAAAAAACAAATTTCTAAGCCAGGTGTAATGGTGCTCACCTTTAGTCCCCGCACTCGTGAGGCAGAGGCAGGAGGATCTCTGTGAGTTCAAAGCCAGACTGGTCTACTTAGCAAGTTCCAGGTCAGCTGGGGCTACAGAAAGACCGTCTCAAAAAAAAAAAAAGAAAAAGAAAACAAAAAAGAACAAAGAACAATGAATTCTAAATGAGACACCACTGATTCATGTATGCTTTTTTTAAAAACAAATTTTATTTTTATTTTATGTGTATGAGGGTATTGCCTGCATGTATGCGAGTGAACCTGTGTGGAGTACAATGCCTCAGAGGTCTGAAGAGGGCTCTGATTCCCCTGGAACTGGAGTTAAAGACTGTTCTTAGCCTCCATGTGGGTACTGGGTATCTAACCAGGGTCTTCTGCAAGGGCAGTCACTAGTCTTAATTGCTAAACCATCTCACGACTGCTCCCCTTTTTAAGTTATGCTTTTTTAAAAAATTATTTTATGTGTATTATTATCTTGCCTGCATGTATGTAAGTGCACCCACGTTGTGCAATGTCCACAGATGACAGAAAAGGGCATTGGATCCTCCAGAACTGAGAGTTACAGATGGTTATGAGCTGCCATGTGGGTGCTGGGACTTGAACCTGGGTCCTCTGCAAGAGCAGTTGGTGTGCTTCACTCCTGAGCCATCTCACTAGTCCTGGTTGCTGTACTTTTGTACATTTTATCCCTTCTCAAAGTATGTACAGTAAAGTATGCTTGGAGGACAAGATCAGTGAAATTTATAGTTTAGGAAGGTGGAAGACCAATGAAATGCTTGTCTTTGTAAGTCTGCAAATACCCAACTTCATCAATTATTTTTACATAGAAAAACATCTGAACATGAGCATAAACCACAGATTTCTCCCGGGTAAAAACCAACATGCCTATGCTTTGGCACTAGCATGCCTATAAATACAATCAGCCAGAGGTCTCTGGTTGTTTCTGCCATCATTCCTGAAAAACTGTTCCTGGCATTGCAGATACTATATGTTAATTAACAGCCAATTAGGAAATAGGAATTAAGTTTTTGTAATATTTTCTTTTTAAAACTATGTAGCAGGAAAGAAATTTGGCACTTTGCTACAAACTATGTAGCAGGAAACAAATTTGGTACTGTTAAAATAATTTTGCACAGTCACACACCAAAGTTTCTCAAACCGAAAACCTCCAACATTCACTGGAGAAGGGTTTAAAGTGCACTCCAGAACAGTTTTCTGATTGTGCGGAGGCCTCTGCGGTCTCAGCCAAGGATGGGAAACGGGCGACCTTAGAGCACGGAGAGCACGCCGCGGAACCCAGGCTCTTGCTCTCCAGACCCGCCTGATGCTTAGGCGCTCTGAAAAGTTTTAAGCTTCTGGGAAGTGCTACACAACCAACCAAGGCTTCGCCGGAGGACCAGAAGAAAGGCGTTAAAATAGGAACCCCCGGGAGGGGCGGGGGTCCTTTAGGAGCCGCCTCCCAGCCACTAGATCCCGCCCAGCCGCTTTGAGACTCCGCCCCTCGACCGGAGCCTGCTGGTGATGAGCGCGCGTGCGCGGCTGGCGTCACTTCCTGCACTAGGTCCCGTCTCCGGAAGGGGTTGCACAGCAGTGGCGGCGATTCTGTGTTGGGCATTGGTGTTTCCGCGCCCTGCCGGTGGGTGAGATACACGGCGGCGAAATGGTCGAGGTAAAGTGACACCCTGGACCTTTGGCCCCGGATATGCGGGACGAGAAGTGCTGGAAATGTGGGGAGAGGAGAAGCTGCGGGAGGAGCTGGGTGGCCGAGCCCGGGTGGTCTCCGGGTTTCCCGGCGGGGGGGAAAGCTGGTGACATCCTGAACCGGAGGTCGGTCGGCGGGAAGCCTGAGCAAAACCTTCCAGTGCGTGTGCGGTGACCCTGGGGAGCCGGCGCTGCCCTGATGCTCCTACCGCCCGGGGCACAGATGCTGGTCCTAAAACTAAGTGATCCTAGCTGTCTGGTCAGTTGTCTCATTTCATCCCCACTGCAGGAAAGCCCGCCATTCTTGAAGTTTGCATACGTGCATATCCCAAATATTTCTTAGTTCTGTGCATTGCATTCCAGATCTGCTGCAGTTCCCCTAATATAGTCCAGCGGCGTCTTTTGCTTGGACTGGTGCATTAAGTTCCATTTGGGCTTTGTGCTTTCGCATGCCCTTACATATGTGCTTACATACTACAAATATGTTCTGTTTAACAAACAAATAGAGGAAATGTAGCTCAGTGGTGGAGTGCTTGCCTAGCATGCACAAGGCTCTGTGTTTCCCAGCACCACAAAAATAAATGAGATGTGAGTTGATTCTGCTTTTCTTGCTTAAAACCCTTTTCCGGCCTGGTTACTGGAACAAAGTATAGGTCTGAAAGGTCTTCCTGTTGTGGACCCCCTGAAGCCTCATCTTACACTGCAGCTCCTCCACAGCACCGGTATTCACAACTATATTGTGTTTCTGACATTGCTTGAATTACTGAACACCTTTGCAGTGGCATTGCCCTCTGCTTGGATCACTCATACCTTTGTTCTATGCAAGACTTCCTCTGCTTAAGCATCATCTCAGAGAACTTTCAACAATCACATTTAAGTATTCCTTTCTTCTCTTGACTTAACCCACTGCCTCTCTTCATAGAAACTTCCAAAATGTGGAATTACCTTGTTTTTGTCTGGTATCTGTTGAGCACAAGCAGGTGCCTGCCTTTTTATCATTCTCATGTTAGCCTGTAACGCACTATATGCCTGACAGTACAAACTCAGAAATTGTTTATGAAGCAAATGATTGTCCCAGGCAATATTCACTTGCTGGATGTAGGGCTCTGCCAAAGAGTGGCTTTCTCTTCTTTCTCCTCCCTTAGCTGTAGCTTGCTACAGGTAGCTGTGCTGAGGGGTAAATCGCCTTTTACATGTTTAAACATGTAAGGCGTGTACTCATTTGGCATCAGTTTAGGTTATATGGGTAATTTGGGGTAAGGGATGTGATTGCAGTGTTTCTTTTTAGGAGGTACAGAAGCATTCTGTGCACACACTTGTGTTCAGGTCATTGAAGAGGACCCATGACATGTTTGTAGCTGATAATGGAAAACCTGTGCCTTTGGATGAAGAGAGGTAAGCTCAGTTCTTCTTCAGGTGCTAACTGTTTAAAATTCTAATACTTTGGAAGAGAGCAGAAAGGAAGTGACCCTCAAAGGACTTGCAAGGAGTGCTAATGCTCATAGACTTAGTGAATAATTAATTAATTAGTAATTTTAGTAGGCTTAACATATCTTTTCACTTTCTCAGTGAAAGTCCCATTAGTTAATCACAGCGTGCAATACCCCATAATGAGGAGGGTTCCTGTCAGGCTGTTCTGTCTTACATCAGTTGCTTTATGTGCACTTTCAGCTTCATGTGCTGAGCTGGCAGTGGCCGTCCCAGGGCCTCCACCCCCGTTTCTGCTCCTTGGTACAATGAAGAGCGCTGGGTAGTTCTCCATCTCCAGCTCTAGTCTGGGATTGCATTCTGTGCAGTGCTCCTTCTTTGTCCTAAATTTACTCTTCTTTTACAGTTTATTTAGTACTTCCCCAAATCACTTATATTAAACTTAAAAAATGAATTATTTTTTAAAGCAATATAGAAATGTTTCTTTTAAAAATATTGAACTAAGTACTTGTTTAAGGTCTAATTTTTTTGTTATTTTTTGAGATGGGGTCTCCCTGTAGCCACAGCTGGCCTGGAACTCACTATGTAGACCAGGCTGGCCTCACTTTCACAGACATCCACCTGCCTCTGCCTCCCATGTGCTGGGACTAAAGGCATGTGTCATTAGGCCCAACTAAATTTAATTTTTTAAAATAATTGGTGAAGGTGCCTAGAAGTTTTTACTATATTTTATATTTCAATAGTTGAAGATTTTTAAAAGGATATATTTCTGTGTGTCTAGTTCAGTTTGACCTTTGAAAACTCAAGAAAGGTTTTTGTGTTTATTAGGCTGCAAATGAAGATACTCCCCTCCATGGGTTTAACAAGTTCTATATGATGGAATGTGAACAGAAGTAAATAGATAATGTCATGGAAATGCACTTAGAAATTTTTGGTTCTTTAAAGACTGTTTAACTTGAAAATCTTACTGTGTCTCTGCGATTGAATAAACTGGTTGTGTACTTGCTTTCAGGCTGTCTGTCAGCATTTTCATTGGTACATGTGTTTTAAGCATTTAAGGATGCTTGTTATGTTTATAATTTTTAAATAGTCACAAACGAAAAATGGCAATCAAGCTTCGTAATGAGTATGGTCCTGTACTGCATATGCCTACTTCAAAAGAAAATCTTAAAGAGAAGGGCCCTCAGAATGCAGCAGATTCATACGGTCATAAACAATATCCTGCCAACCAAGGTGAGGACTCTCCGGGTTTAGATGTGAATTTTTGAAGTCGAACATCAGTGTCTTCTTAGTGTCCCATTGGGAAGGACTGATTAGTATTATACTATTGTAATGGAAGTTTTCACTTGCTCACAGGAGTAGTAACTAAGATTGTTCGTTGATGACTTTTTTCTAGGAGACAAAATATAGTAGTAAAATTCTTGGGCAAAGGACAAGCATAAAAGAGTCTAAAGGAAGAAATGGAAGTTTATTCTAAGCTCTGGGGAGCCTGTGTGTTGGGGCTATAACTCTGAAAGATGAAATTAAGTACTGAAATGATGAGTAGAGAATGGCTAAGATTCCATGTAAAACTATTTGCTTCAAAGGAAAACCAGATTGAAAGACCTCCATATCCCCCATGGCTAGATAGCAAATGCATGACTGTTCTTAACCTTTTAGCAGCTAATGGACAGATTGATCATCTGCCTTCATTTCTGAGGCCTTAGCTTAGAAGGAAAGGGAAAAGCTAATTAATGTTATTAATACATTTTAAAAGATGGTAGTTGAAAAGGTAAAATCACACTCAGTGAATTTATTTTATTTTTTAGGACAAGATGTTGAATATTTGGTGACAGGTACACATCCGTATCCACCAGGACCTGGTAAGTGAGCTGTTTCAAAGCCTGTACCAGGCCTAGACAAATTTATTATCTGTTGGTTTAGACAAACATGCAGGTAACCTAAACTTTAAAAATGGTCAAAGTGTTAATATAGAAGTAGGTATGATTGAAGTTCGTGTGTGTGTGTGTGTGTGTGTGTGTGTGTGTGTGTGCAGATAGGTTGGCACAGGGTGGTACAACCAATATGACAGGGTGGAGGACAAAGAAACCTTGGATTTATAGCACATGAAGAGGCATTGGGTGCTTCTTACAGTATCTTACATTGGCTCTTGGAAGCATTCTGCTAGTATTTGGAGAACCACTTTTTGCTTCTGTGTTCTGAATCTAAAAGAAATTTAACATTAGTGTCTTGGACTGTTTTAATACCAAGCTGCTTGTATTCAGATCAAATTTGAGCTATATGTTTTTACACAGTATTTATTATAAAAAGATAAAAACAAAGATAAGCCAAACTTAATCAGAATTACTATACTGACTATACCTGGAGGTAATCGTCAGTCTTTTCCCCCACTGTTGTATTTCAAATGCACAGAACTGTTTGTTTTAATAGGGGTTGCTTTGACTGCCGATACCAAGATCCAGAGAATGCCCAGTGAATCCGCTGCACAGTCCTTAGCAGTGGCTTTACCTTCCCAGGCCAGGTATGAAATGTGGTGCTTTAATTACAAAGATTTTGAAAGCGTATATAGCCATTTGCAAATTCCGCTTGCAAATTTTTGCTTTAAATTTTTATTTTCATCTTATGTGTATAGGTGTTTTGCTTACACGTGTAAGTGTACCCTTGTTGCACAATGCCCACAGAGGACAGAAGAAGGCATTGCATCCCCTGGTTCTGGAGTTACAGATGGTTGTTAGCTGCTACATGGGTGCTGGGATTCGAACCCAGGTCTTCTGCAAGAGCAACCAGTGCTCTTAATCGCTGAACCATCTCTCCAGCCTCTAAATATTGTTTTCTTATGCTTTGTCAAGCTTCACAAATATTTTATTTGTTCATGTTCATGTGTATGTGTATGCACATGTCTGTGCATATACATGGTACCTGTGTATGTGGGGGCCAGAGGTCAGCCTTCTTCAGGCACTTGTCCATGTTAATAAATAAATATATATATATATATGGAGAGAGGGAGGATGGGGGAGGGAAGGAGAGAATGTGAGAATGTACACATATGTAGGTCAAAGGACAACTTTTAGGAGTTTTAGGAGTTTGTTCTCTCCTTCCACTATGGGTTCTGGTGATTGAAC